TAAGAGTAGACTCGTACCCGTACGGCATTTCATGGTTTATTTGTTGCCAAGAAACTATAAACAATCCAAATAATACTCATCATATTACAGTGATTCTTAGTGCTAGTAAAAGTAAACTCTTACCCGTACTATACGGCATTTCATGGTTTATTTGTTGCCAAGAAACTTTAAACGATCCAAAAAAATCACTAATCGTCTGATGATTCTATTGTTCCATTTTTCTTTTCTTCCTTTTTCTTTCGTTGTTTGTTGGTTCTCTCCTGTGCTTCGAGGGTTTTTCTCCTGGTTCTCCGGTTTTCCTCACTCCTCAAAAATCAACTTCGAAATCCTAATTCGATCTTTGGGCTTTCACTTAGTTTGGAGCCTAGCTCTGTTGTGATTGTCCCACGCTGTGATACAACAGCGAAAGCTTTGTAGATTTTAAATTTTAGATTCATTCCTCTATCATTCCCTATGCATTTCTCTATCATACCCTATGCATTCCTCTATCATTCCTTATGCATTCCTCTATCATTCCCTCTTCATTCCTATATCATTCCTTATGCATTCCTCTATCATTCCCTATATTCCCCTATCATTCCACTCGCTAATCCTACCCCTAGCCCTGTTCATTCCAGTGCCATGAAGGGGGTCGTTTTTACTCTATACCTGGGAAAGAATAATACATCAATCTGAAATCCATTAAGCAGGCGAGAGTTGCTTGAAGTTTCTCTATAAAACTAGAATAGTTCAATAATGCGGCATAGAATATTCGCTGTTTATTGAAACATTAGCCTTTGCAACTAAATGCAAATCAAGGTATGGCCTGATTGGATGTATTAAAAAAAAATGATAAAAATAACAATCTCTACTCTTAGGCTACCTGTGGCTCCCCAACTTTTATCATGAGAAGAGAGTACATTTTTAAAAACCTCGGCTAATAATGATTGAGTTCAACATTTAAACAGTCACTAATTAAGACATCTCAAACGACGTAGCAAAGTTTTTTTAAGATTTGAACYCAACCTTTTCTTTGTACCTTAGCAGATTAACCAGATGCATTTACAGAAAATTGTACACTTCTTAGAACATTGCTTGCGCTCTTTGTGCGAAAACACTACAGTGTCCTCTATTTTTCTACACCGTAAATCCTAGAAATATTACATAAAACATAACGAAAAAGTTATAACGGCAAACCAGCTTTTATCTCCTCTTTAACACCTCCCAAAGTGATAACTACGCTTTCTTAGACGTATCTTTCAAAAATATACAACAAAGAATTCACTGATTATAATACTAAAACAAATAGTCTCTGTTGCAAAGCCGTTAAAACGTTACGCATTTGTCATTTGCTTTCAATGTCAAAATACAACCCAATGAAGTGCCAGATTAACATTCATTTTCACCAAACAAACCAGGGAGCACAAATCTTGTCAAACCCGTACTATAATGTAAAGAGTGATCAAGTTACATATTCCTTACGCTAACATGGCCACAATTTTCATAAGAAGAAGGCCTGACTCCGTGATGGAGTGGGAAATAGAAGATGTATTAGATTGGCTGATAGAGTTCCAACTTGAGAGGTTTTGTAAAAGATTTCAAAGTAAGTAAAGTTCCTTGTTCCCCTCCCCTCCTCAGCAAGATCGAACAGGCATTTAACTCGCCTACCAGCCACGTTTCGATCTGTTTGACTCAATAAGCTTGCAAATCTTTCGTTTAATCGATACTTTTTAAGACTCTGAAAATCTACTCRGCAAACCTAGCATAAGTAAAAAGCAAAAGAGATGAATTTTTCAAGCCTTTGAAGTGACAGTTCAGGATTAACTGCTTAAGCATTTGACATTTTATAGGCTTTCCTTTGTAATAAATTCAAAAGAGGAATTAGTTTGAGAGCTACAAATCACGCGAATGACGTTTGTTGCTATTTTTACCTTTATCATGATTCTTATCGATTTTGTACGAATTCAATCTTTTTATTCGCACATTCGTTCACAACAGCATTTGTATGCTTTCAGTCCGGTCCGTTCCGGTCCCGTTCCGGTCCCGTTCGGTTTTTGAAGTACTTACGCTTGAAAAAAATGGACTACTACTCATTTAAGGAACAGTTATGGTAGATTGATAAGTTTTACACCGTAGTGAAAAAAGGAACTGACGTTTCGGACGTTAGTCCTTCGTCGGAGTCATTGACTCCGACGAAGAACTAACGTCCGAAACGTCAGTTCCTTTTTTCACTACGGTGTAAAACTTATCAATCTACGATAACTGTTTCATTAGAAACACCGACGCAGTCCACGCTAGTGTTTACTAGCCATCATCTACTCATTTAAGGGCGGACTGTTCATTAATTATGCCTTTGGGGGGGGGGGGGGGGGGGGGGGAGGAAAAGCAGAGGGGCTTTGAAAAAAATCACAAAGAGAAGGGGGGGCTTCGATAGTATTGGCTGACTTCAAATGGGGGGGGGGTGGTTTCGAAACAAACTAATTAAGGTATGTCTAAACAAATATAAAAGATCCGATCTGTTTCGATAATGCACTATTAAATTGTATCCTCAGATACTGTGGTTAAAAGAAGGTAGAGGAAAGGAAGTGCTTTCATTGTACTGATATAATAGAAGATGAAAGACAATTCCTAATTAAATGTCCTCTATACTCTAAACTTAGAGAAGAATTTCTTATGCAAAATAACATAAGTAACTCCCTTACGGAGGACCAATTGTTTCTGAAGTTGATAGATCCTCCCCATATTTTACAATCAGCTGCAGCAAAATACGTTTACAATTGTTTTGCTCTGCGTAGTGAAAAAAAGCAACAACAACAAAACAAATAAAAATCAATACTTGTATGATATTGCATAAAGATGATTAGGATTAGTAACGCATTTTATCGAAATAATTATATGAACATTTATATGTACGTCTGACGTGTATGTGTGGAATATGTGAATATAGATATTATGCACATACATAAACATACGTATATATTCGTAACTTATTTGGATCTAAGTTGATGTGCAACTTTGTACAAAACGCCAAATAAAATATGTCTGTCTGTCTGTCTAAAAGGTCACAAGGAGGGGGGGTCGAATAAATTTTTTTAGATAGAATTGGGGGAGTGGTGAATCTTTACAAGGATTTTTTCGATTTTTCCTCCAGCCCACCCTGAGGCATAATTCATGAACAGTCCCTAAGCACTAAGATATCAGTTACTAACTCAGCTACTGAACAACTAAATCTCCCCTTCAAGCTAAGCTTTCTTAATCAAGGAAACTTATTGTCATTTCCAGGCCACCTTATTACAGGTCCGATTCTTTTGCAAATGGATGACTTGCTGCTTGGTGAGTTTATTCAACATCGATCTGTAAGGATGATTTTAAAATGATAAAGAATCTGCCGCTTCAAGAGGGTCCTGAAGGGAGTGAGGTCCCAATCCCATTCCCAACCCAAAATTTTACAAATTCTCAGTTCCGCTCGTTTGTTAATATATATCAACACTGCTGACAATGTTTGTCAATRACATCAGGACTCGCGGGAAATGTAAAAAAGGGGGAGTGGAGGACCAAAAATTCCACTATGCAACTGATTTGACTTTCATTATTGAAGAACTCAAATCTCATTTCTTTATCATGGGTTCCAGAGGCTCTCTTGCTCCAGTGCTTCTCGATCGTAGGATTCGTTATCATTTTCGTTAACGTTATCGCTAATCCTACGATGGAGAAGCATTGCAGGGAGAGAGCCTYTGGAACGCAGGGTACTGTGGGTTAGGGTTTAGGGTTTCGTAGATACATGGTGTTTTGTTTGTGTTTCCGCAGATGATCTGCAAATTAATTCAATCGCAGAAAGACAGGTTTTGTTGGCAGAAAGCAGACGCCTGTGTCTTCATGAACTGGAGTTAGTCGATAGGGCTCTTGAATACAAGCAGAAATTAGAGGAGATTCCAAAATCCAAAAGAGACGGCAACACAATAAAAGATATTAAGGGGATTAGTAGTCATCCTGATCAACTTGAAAAAGCGTTCGTTGAAAATGACATGTCGACATACCGCACTACTGATGAAAATGTAAAGAGAAATCCAGCTGCAGGTTAGCTTTGCAATAAGGTTTATCCAGCTGCAGGTTAGCTTTGCAATAAGGTTTTCGAATATTTTCAGGATGTCGAGAGGAAAACTGGGTTTCTTAAGATAATGGTGGTGATATGTGTAACATTTTAATATCTATAATTAAAGACATGCACGCAGTACTTATTTGCAATTTCGCTATCCTGTGTGTCAAGCTTGTTTAGGTAAAGCAGATGAGGTAGCAACGAGGGCGACTCTGATGGTTACAATTTTGTCACAAGAAAATAGCAGCCTTAGGGAGCAACTGCAAAAGAGCAGTAAGAAAGATCTATGTATCAACAAAGTGAGTACATCAAGTCATGGCAAATACATTTTTGGGTTAATGTCAGCAACTCTTATTTGATGGGTTTCATTTTTAAAGCTCCAGAAAGAGATTTCTCAACTAAAATCAGAAAACTATCACCTTAGAAGTAAAGCTCACGCATTGGAAATGGAGAATAAAAACGTTCTTGATGAACTTCGGGAGATATCTGAAAAATACGAAAAAATAAGAAACTGCAAGGATATTATTGACAAGCTAAAGCAGGAAAACATATTTTTACAAGGTAGGTTTGTTCGATCAAGAACTCATAAACAGTGATCATGAAGCTATGAAACACTTCATATTAATATTGCTTCCCGTAATGATAAAATTCTTCTTCAGATAAGTTCCAAGCATTCAAGTGCAAAACTATTGAGCGAGAGGTAAGATCATATACTACCTTATTCAAATGTCGTCTACGTACTAATACATTGACTGATCAGCTGTCTATATCAATTAACATTCGTCCTTTTGTATGATGGCACATAGCTAATGAGAAGTTTTTGTCATGGAATCAAAAACGACAATTCGTGCAGGTAAAATATCGCTTTTCATGACTGAACTATGCATATGATTCAATGATTTTCACTCAATACCACTATYGTTTTTATCGTTTCTTTATGAAGTCAATTAATTGTCAATAAATGACTGTGGTTTTATTTTGGTATTGATCAAAGTTTACAGAATTCTCATGTTGAAGATTGCCACAGTGATTGCAAACAAGAAGAAAATGACTTGCATTTGATTAACAAGGTTTATACAGCCAATAAAAGATGCGCTGAGCTGGAGGATACGTAAGTACACCACATTATGGCCCGCGTGTGTTTAACATTTGGACTCCATAGTCAACGCTTTTACTGATCATTGATCAGGAACAGGCATGATATAATTATTAGCTTAACATGTGCAGGAACGTTTAAATGAATATTATCTCGATATGAATAATCAAACTGCCACATGACATACTCGTGGATACCCTTCCTTGCACTCTTTAGTTATTGGGTTCCCTGTGTTCCTCCCGCTTACAAGAGCGTTGCGTTATATATGAAACTATTTACTTGGCCTACACTGTGAAATAAGCGCCGGGATATTCTATAAAAATTCGTTTAGACATTTTGTTTGACTTATCTTCATTTAAGCCTGTTTGATAAGGCTGATAGATTTCGGTTTTTTTTTTCTCGCTGATTTTTCTACATAAATCCTAAGTATATCTTGAAGTATATAACTATATCTTTCACCGCTATGAGTCCAACGGGTCGGGTCGCTGGTTCGAGCCCTGCAGTCGCCACATGTGAATTGAGTTTGTTTGATGTGYTATATATCATATGCTACGAGAGTTTTCTCCGGGTTCTCCGGTTTCCTTCGGTTTCCTCCCTCCGTAAAAATCAACATGTGAGTTGAGCGTTGTGTGCATAGAATATTAAATGTATTGGTAGTTCGTGTGAGCATAAAGTGTCCCCAATAGGCCTTTTGCAACAAACAGTCACTTGCTGATATATGACTTTGATAACGAATCAATTCAGCTAAAGGTCCCTTGGGGTAGGCTCTGCTGGATGGCAAACAAACTTTAAAATGCTTCGTATCTTGAAATCGAAAGTATCTTAAAAGGGAAAAAAAGTATTTTTGAAAAGGTTTTGGATACGACATTAGTAATCCAGCAAAAAATCTTTAAATAAAGGAACTTTTTTGAATTACAGTAACAATCACGTGTCAAAAGACCTATTAGTGCGAAAAGCGCTAGAACGACTAGACACTTAAATAAAGTGATTTATTTATTTAGTGAGTAAGTGAGCGAGTCAAACATTTGCATATTCAGACCCCTCACAATAACTCGTTTCTACACTTCTTTACGCGATTTTAGACTTGCTCCTAGACTTTCGTAGGCTTGTCAGGATTTTTCCAGGTCCTGTAAGTTCAGACAGAAAAATATCTCTGCCCGAAAGAATAATATCGTATCATAATTTACTTTTGCCCCATTGACATCGCGTTATTTTCACAGATACGGATGAAGATAATCTTTTTATTCTTACATTGTGATTGATAGCTTAGATTTTGCGAATTGTGATTGGCTGTAATTTACCGACTGAYTTTTGACGCGGTAAATTTGACGGGATGCAAGAGTGAAAAGTCCGTCGTACCCGAGTCAAGATACACAAAGGGCGGTAGACTTTGTGAAAGTCTACCCCGAATTAAAAATTGACCGATACCGTATTAACACGTTTTCCGGATAATTTTTGGCCGGACGGAAAGCCGAATRAAAACTTGACCGGTGTCGTATCGACATGACCAGTACGACAAGCCATTGGTAGTATGCTTTGCGCATGATCAGATGGAAACATTGTATTGATTGTATTGATCTTAAACAGAAAGTATTTTTTATTCCATTTTAAAGAGAGGCGGTTCCGTGTAAATGTCATGTACTGGTAAAATTCTTGAACGGTTAAAATTTGTCCGGGATCGTCTAAAAGTAGCCTTATATTTATTAGTACACATAACTTGTTTTGTAGAATACGAAGGCTGTATGCAGAGTTATTGCTCACTGAACACGGAAAAAAATATTTAGAATCTCCGAATGCATGTATTGATAAAGCCGAGGAAGAACAAGCACCTAGTGAACCCGAGTGGCCCTCCCTTATCGGACGTTTACCAACAAAAGATGCCATTCTTGAGAAATCAGGTGAGACATAATTAGCTAACTCTACCCTAACGTATAATATACTACTTTGATCACCTTGACGATGCCTAAACTGGCTACATGGCCTTAGTACACAGTTGTAACCAAGTGAGTTAGGTTTACGTTTTCATTTGCTTTTGCATTTGGTTGGACTTTGACACTGACAACTGATAAAAATATAATAAACTACAGAACGTTCTGATTCATTTAGATGAACAAGGACTAGGCATTGTTAACCGCCTCACTACCCAAGGATTACCAACGGATAGTGACGAAGACATATGGAGAATTCAATCAATAAACAGCAATAGCAGCCTAAAGGTAGAGAAAGTCGTTCACAAATTGTTATATGTATGATATACGTACATAGAAACAACTACTTATATGACTTATCATCTCTCATATTTTAGGGTTTTGGGGGCTCAGATGACCTAGTTTTTCACAAGTGGAACGTGTAATATTGATACTGAGTTCTTAATGCCCATAGCGTACTGGAACCACAAACGAAACTTGACTGAGTATATAAGGCATCATGAATATCATTATTATGGAACACTGGCGGATGAAAGACATTTTCATAGTTCTAATTATGATTAACCATCTGACTATAGGGAGTAAACTTTAACCAAACAAAATGAGGCTTAATTTGAGCTCAAATAATGTTCTCAAATTAACGAAGGGGGGTATCCCCCTACACTTTCCCTAGATCTGGGCTGCAAGGATGTATCAGTGGTTTAGGTTCTAGGGTTTAGGTAAGGGGGTGAAATCCATTCGTTTGTTTTACTTATGTAGAGTTTATATACTGAATAAAAAATGGCTGTGTTACAAATATATTTATATTTTAATTAATACCATTATTCATTTATTAATTAATATGTATATAATGGAGGTTATTAGATTGAGCGAACTATTTGTGGGTTGCCTGTGTTTTAATTGAAGCGATCAGTACCACAGGTAGCCCAAGCTTGGTTT